TTATATATAACAGTGCATGTATAATTTGTCAATTACATATAGATTTCTCTCTTCTATAAATATCGTGCTAGGATTGAGAAAAAAATTTGGCGAGTTAGCGAAAAGTGTGCGTGTAACAGATCAAATAAAGAATCAGAGAACACTTCGCGCGAAATTTCGAAACGTGATTCACGCAACACGCAATATTATTGAATTCACATTGCGAACCCATAAAAAAAATAATGATAGACTTCGTTTAAACAGTGCCAATTTCTGCCTTATAAAAATGCGTACGGACTCGCGTGCAACCTATGGATAACACTTTCGCTCCAATTATCGTGAAATTTTCATGAAACTTATATTGTGCCTACATTTGTAACACGTTTCGTCCGCGCGCACTTATATTAAGCACATCTCTTTCAGGAAGTCAGATGAAGTATAAAATGTTATTTGAGTTGGAACAACGTTGTGTCGGAGTGCGAGACGTCAATGCGCACCTGACTTCTGCGTGATGCAAATTGCTCGCGTTAATTTCCCAACGGGAATCAATGGCAACACCTGTGCAGTTTCTGATATCTACGCTATAAGTGACCCTCGAATGATAGAACCTACGACGTCTAATTAATTGTAAATTGTTTAGCGAACCAACACGTTACGATCGTATACCTGAGTACTTTCCGCACTAATTACTTAAGTATTTACTTAAAAAGATTTTGTTGCGTTTGCACCATATTTGTTCCTCGCGTTATTTATCGTTTAGTTGAAAATATTTTAAATCGGCTATTTCTTTCAATTTTGATTATTTCAAAAATTTAAAGAACGTCAAGTTACACGCAAAGGCATACTACATGAAGTATATACAGGCGTTTAATAATATAAGACCTTCCCAAATGGGGACAATGATACAAATGAATTAAGGAGAAGGTAAGAACTGATCGATATGGCGATTTTAATAAAAACACTTCAATAACGCGATTACTTTACGATAACCGCGATCTTATCAGTTTGCATTGTCATTCTTTATTTTGCTTAGTTCTAAATTATTCAAAAATCAAACGTACTTTTCATCAGACTTTTGGAGATTACACGAATTGACGCATCAGAAATATATGATTGTTGGAAAATAACGAAATCAGAAGTGTGAATTAACGTTAGGAATTTATTTATTTCTTACTTAAAAAAATATATCAGAATTGTTAAAAATGATTTTTTTCTCTTTTTTAATTTGTACAAAGTTATACGTATACATATTGTACATATATATAGGCTGTATCTTAAATAACGTCTATTAATCATATAATGCTATTCCTGATTTAAAAAACTGAGTCGAAAAATCCTCTACCATTTTGCAATTTTCGCAATAGTTAACAAGATATCAATTACTAAATATTGTCGAATAAACGAATAAAATCGATGCATATTTGATATTTTGCTCATTAGGTAATTAAAAACAAAATATTGCGAAAATTGCAAAATGGTAGAGAATTTTTTTATTCGGTTTTTTATCGGGAATAACACTATATATAATTATAGTGGACGTTTTTTATGTAATATACATCTTGTATCTTAAAAAAAGTAATTGTAGTTATAGAAAATATTTTGGTATTTGTAAGATTAAAGCCTCATAAACCCTCCCCCCCCTCCCACATTAATTCTAAATTTAATGTTAAAAGGTTTTATTATAATTTTAAGCAGTGCTACTGTCTGTAGCATAAAAATACGGAGAATTAGAAGGAAAAAAGAAGCAAACGAGGCATTAAACGAGATATCGATATATCTGAATTCTAGATTAATGCGGTGCAAACGAGCAGCGGTTCTGTTGAACCGCGGTGTCGGGAGCGCATTATCGCGTATTCCCCGTGCGACATTAACAAAAGTGACGTCGTCGCATCGCGCAGAATTATAACGTACCAACCGCAGTGAGAGACGAACAAGGAGAGCGTATTCTCCGGTGTACCGTCAATAAAGCCGTCGCGCTAATAATTATCGTGGCGGCATGGCAGAGTCTCGAGGGGCGTCATTAGGCGACAACGTCGCATATTGCGGCTTTTAATGTTTCACAAACGCTTTGCAGGTATGATGACGACGACGATCACGACGACGACGACGACGACCACGACGACGACGACGACCACGACGACGACGACGACGACGTCGATGACAATGTTATACAGCGGCGACGTTTTATCGCTCGACTACGTACTAACGAACGGTGCTCGCGGTATGCACACGTGTCCCAAAGAGGAATATACGACCAAGTTATTTCGATATACAAGCAATGAAACGACAACGGGCATTGTGTTATGCTTCGCGTTAGAAACTCGTTCGTGCATTGTCTGTCATAGAGAAATAAAAATTATCGTGCACAACCGTCGCAGGCGGCCATGCTCGATAATAAACGATAAGAAGTTGTACGTGATGCTATTTTTTTTTCTTCTTTTTCTTTCCTCACGCACCTCCTCTTTCAACTAGACAGACTTTTCCGATCACGCATCGTTCATTTGTATTCGTTTAGAACATGAGTGATATATGCAGACTTCCTCAACTTCTTGGTGAGATAAAGATTGCAAAAGAGAAAGAACAATTTGCTAAATTCTTTAATTTTATCTATATATATACGTGTTAAAATAATACAATTAAATGATATTTTTACTCTACACAAGATGGTATTATTAACACGATATAATAATGAAAGTCAACGCTCTCTTCTTGTAACATAATTCTTGGAACATTGCACCCTCTTTCTTGTTCCTCCATTTCTCCTGCAATAGACGCACATGAAGAAACGGTAAATATACGTTACATGTAATCAATGTACTTACATGTATGTAATAAATGTACGTAGCAAAATATAATAAATATGTGCATAAGAAATGTGCATATGTATATATATTGTATATATAAATGCATGTATAATTAAATTACTGTTATTTCTCCGTGTTGAAGGAATGACTGTGATGGTTAATATACGAATGATTGACGCTTTCACCGTTGATACTATATAGGTACATTTATAAATCGCCTCACGTCTGTCGCAAGAACGATCTTCAGATAAATTCGACTAACATGGTAGTGAAAGTATAAGGACGAAAAAAGTAACAAAAAATTAAATAAGTGGTACTAATAATATTGTACTACACGAGATATCAATGCCGCAAGAATTAACAAATCACTGTCGTCGTACATATTTCAGTTGGAACCAAAATAAGTTAAATGTAATTGTTCTAATTAAAAAAATATATAACAAAATTATGTTTATAAAAAAGAGCAAAAAGAAGAGATATCAATAATAATAATAATAATAAATGTATAAAAATTATATTTTACCTAAAAAGTTTCAAATAAAGATTTGCTTATAAATACTTCTTGGTAAAAAATTGTTCATGCATGAATATGTATAAATATGTATAAACATACATAAATACACATAAATATTCATAAACATGTATAATTATATATGAAATATGTCCATACATGTTCATAAGTTCATACATCTTTATTTTGTAAAATTACTTTTTAATGTAATAGAAATAATAATAGTAATGTGAAAATATTAAAAATAATTAAAAAGATAATTTTTGTACTATATTTGTTTTAGAAAAAATCAAGTTCGAAAAAATGTAAAAAAATTACTTACGTATAATTATATATAAAATTATGCATAATTATGTACGAGCAATTTTTTTACATTTTTCCGAACTTGTTTTTTTTCTAAAACAAACAATGTAAAAATTATCCCTTTAATTATTTTGAATGATTTCACATTACTATTATTATTTCTATTACACTAAAAAGTAATTTTATAAAAGACAGAAGGATGTATGAACATGTATATAGACATATTTCATATATAATTATACATGTTTATGAATATTTATGCGTGTTTATGTATATTTATTTATACATATTTATACATATTCATGCACGAAAAATTTTTTACCGATTTGTTGCAAAATCTAAATTTAATAAATTAACTTTACTTAAAATTATGTGTATATATACATATATGTATATATAATACTCATATATGTATAAATGTTTATTTATAAATCATCTGTACTAAAAAAGAATTTACGAAATTTGAATAAATACGAGTATTTGTTTAAATAGTACCAATGGAATCATTTGATTACAGAAAATAAATATTTATTCAATTTAAAAAAATAATACTTATTATTAAATTAAGTGTAATTCTTTTTAATTGAACAAATATTTATTTACTAAGTAAATGGTTCCATTGATACTATCTAAACAAATATTTATTCAAATTTCATAAATTCTTTTTTAGTGTGCATAATAATCTGCATAATAATAATAAATCATGAATTTATTATATTGCATTATTATTCAAACATTTATATCGGCAGTTGAAAAGTGTGTATTGACAATTGATAATATTAATACTCTTCTGTTATTACCTTCGGATCTCAAGGACCACCAATGATAATTACGAAAATTTATCCAAAGTCGATGCGGTCTTTATTTTAATATCATTTTAATTCGGTTAATTTAATCGGCGTTTAACTCGATCGATAAAATGTCTAATATTGTTATTTTTTTTTCAATACATTAAACATATTTCTATCAATTAATTTTATTTGTATTACTTAACAAAATAGTGCTTAATAAAATGCTTAGTAATTAAATTAAGGCTGGGTTGTTCCACCTTTTGGTAAACTTTTTTTTCGGTTCACTGTCTTATTCTCTTACACTTTTACTTTCTTGTTTAATCAGTAGGTTAATTAATTACTACATAATTTATCGAAAGATAGAACAACCGACCCTATAACAATAAAGTTTTTTTTTTTGTAGAAACATTTTATATTAACAAACTCGTCGGTAATGTCGCATTTTACCTAATAATCGATTTAAACTCATCTCGAGGAACGAACGATTATCGTTCGATTATCGTTTGTTCTTGTTTGGTTTAAAGTATCGAAACTCGAAGTAATTGATACAAGCAGACAGAAGGGAGAGACGAGAGAAAGCTACCCTTTGACACGAGTGCGAATGTACTTCTCCTCTCCTCTCCCCCTCTTTCCTATGGAAGTTGGGTCGAGGCGAGTTCATGAGCGGTTGGAGTGTTGGAGTACGCGACGCGCACCGTGATGCATCATCACGGGAAAACGTCAAAATGAGAGCATCCTCGTGATAGCTTGCAGTGCAACGCGGTGCAAGTGCACGGCAGTGTTTCGTTTCACCTGCGAAAGCAAACATTAACGGTGCCGTCAGCGACGTCCGATGTTACGCGACAGACAACCACGCTGATATAAAAACGCTACGGCGAGCCGAATTCGCAAACACAGCTTTGACAGCTTATCTCCCTCTCTCTCTCTCTCTCTCTCATTGATATTGTCTGGCAGTTCGAGGAAAGCGAACAAAAGTGCGTACACGTAATCTCCTGATTTTTTATCCGATATGTATTTCTCGCTAGCGAAACGTATTCATCTCCGGAATCGCGCAATGTATTCTTTGCATTTTTCTTCCTTACGATCTTTTTTATGACGAGGTACGAGAGTACTCCAGAGTGCTGAATGCTCCAGAGTACTTCAAATATGTATACGAGTCAATTGTAACCTGTTTCGATCGTGATTGCAATGCACATAAACATTCGTCTTGATCTCACTTTATATTACGTTATTTATTTCTTGGAATTTCAGTGGGAAGGTGTCGCCTCTACACTTTTCTTTATATTTATTTGGATTTTGAAAGTGGAGTATATGAAAACTTTGAAACTAATAGTGTATGTGTAAAAGTTTTAAATTACGAAATGTAATAGAGATGTGCTTGGAGATATATATATGTTACAGAAGCATAAAGAGATGAGACACTGTCTGCATAAGCTATCGCTAAGAAGGGTAGTCTTAACACTAATTTTTAAGAACCTCTGAATGATTCATACAGTTATGAATAAAGTCTTCGTACCTCTCATAAAAGTTACAATAAATCTGTTCTTTTTCGAAGAATATTTTGAACTTTGTTTACTGTAATGTACATATGATCAGTGAGCTACATAATATATTGAAGTATGCCTTCCTTATACTAAACTATGATTAAAACTATAGATGAGAAACGGAAGATAAACAAATACTAATTTTTTTTATTCTTTTCTTTAGTAGTAAAATAATATTAGTCAAATAGCGAATCTTTGACAAAAAAAAATAGTACAATGTTTGCATCAGAATATCATTGTCTATGAATTAGGACACACCTACTTCTCGATGACTCGCTCTAATATATTATAGAACTCACTGAATAAGTTGGAATGAAACAAAGTTTGTTTCAATCCAACTTATACCAACGTATATCAATTCAGAACATTCTTTGAAAAAGAATAAATCTAATATATTTTATTCTTCTTTTTGGAAAATAATGTAATATACATCTCTTCTCTCTAATATCGAATAATATCTTACATTAAATAATTTTAATTTATATAAGCAATAAAGTAGTAATCATTAACAAATATTTGATTTACTTAAGAATGTGTATTTCACATGACATATATATATATATTTTTTTTGTCGCTATAGGGAAACCGCATTAGGGGACCTGCTGCAGGCACATTTGAGACCTGCGGTGGTTGGTGAATGGTGTTGCAGATAGATTCCGTGTGGGGCTGGGCGTCACCCCCGCTGCGCCTCCAGCTAGCCGGGGGGACCAGGGGTGCCTCGGGGAGAGCAGCTGCGGGCGCCCCATCCTCGCAGAGGATGGGTGAAATAGTCGTGGAACGCGCTCCCTCCCCAGCACGCCTCAGTCATACCTCTGAGAAGCATCCTCGTGCAACGCTAACTGAGCTTAATGTTCTTCGTCGTCATCGGGAACTGTGCGACGTTGTTCTCAATGTTGGTTCTAGAAAGATATTCGCACATCGCGTCATTCTTTCAGCATGTAGTCCATACTTCAGGTATAATAGCACAAGCATAATCAATATTTTTGATTTACTTAATCTTATAACGAATGCTATATCCCTCTATTTTTTTCAGGGCAATGTTTACTGGGGAGCTGGCGGAATCTAGACAAACTGAAGTAACAATACGCGACATAGACGAAATGGCTATGGAATTACTCATAGACTTCTGTTATACTTCTCACATTATTGTCGAAGAAGCTAATGTTCAAACTCTCCTTCCAGCAGCGTGCCTTCTTCAATTAGCAGAAATTCAAGATATATGTTGCGAATTTCTCAAACGCCAATTAGATCCATCAAATTGCTTGGGTATCCGGGCGTTCGCGGATACCCACTCGTGCCGCGAACTTCTGCGTATTGCTGATAAATTTACTCAACATAATTTTCAAGAGGTATACTTCATGCAAGGAACATTGATTAAGTTGCTGATTTTGAGAAACTTATTGCTTTAATTTTATATATTGTAGGTAATGGAGAGTGAAGAATTTTTGTTGCTACCTGTCGGACAATTGGTAGACATTATTTCATCGGATGAATTAAACGTACGTACGGAGGAGCAAGTGTTTAGCGCCGTGATGAATTGGGTGAAATACAATGTTACGGAAAGACGACAACATCTTGCACAAGTCTTGCAACACGTGCGACTGCCATTACTCAGTCCAAAATTTTTAGTTGGTACCGTCGGATCGGATCTATTGGTTCGTTCTGATGATGCTTGCAGAGATCTCGTAGATGAAGCAAAGAATTACTTACTTCTGCCGCAAGAAAGACCATTGATGCAGGGACCTAGAACAAGACCCAGAAAACCTACAAGACGGGGAGAGGTGTTGTTCGCAGTTGGTGGTTGGTGTTCAGGTGATGCCATTGCCAGTGTTGAAAGATTTGATCCTAATACTGCCGATTGGAAAATGGTCGCACCGATGAGCAAACGAAGATGTGGAGTGGGCGTAGCAGTGTTGAACGATTTGTTATACGCAGTCGGCGGACACGATGGACAAAGCTACTTAAATAGTATTGAGCGATACGATCCACAAACAAATCAATGGTCTTGCGATGTTGCTCCTACCACTTCCTGTAGAACTAGTGTGGGTGTCGCTGTGCTTGATGGGTTTCTTTACGCAGTTGGTGGCCAGGATGGAGTACAATGCCTTAATCACGTGGAAAGGCAAGTTAAAGAAAATTTATGTTAAAGAAAATGTATAAATATAAAAAATAGTGCACTTGCATACCTAATGATATACATATATATATATGTGTGTATGTAATTTTGTAGATATGATCCTAAAGAAAATAAATGGTCTAAAGTGTCGCCAATGACTACCAGAAGGTTGGGAGTGGCAGTTGCAGTGCTCGGAGGTTATTTATATGCCATCGGCGGGTCTGATGGACAATCACCCCTTAATACAGTAGAAAGATACGATCCAAGGCAGAACAAATGGTCCCAAGTGTCCCCGATGTCTACGAGACGTAAACATCTAGGCTGTGCTGTATTTAATAATCTAATTTATGCTGTGGGAGGACGAGACGATTGTATGGAACTTTCCAGCGCCGAACGTTATAATCCCCATACGAATTCATGGAGTCCTATAGTAGCGATGACATCTAGGAGAAGTGGAGTAAGTTTGCGTTTTGTAGATATTTTAAAACTTACAATATATGTAAAAGAAGTAGATGATTTATCTGCATGTGAAAAAACTATTAGGAATTATTTTAAAATTTAAAAGCATAGTATATAATGATGAGGTATCAGTTTTAACAATTGCTGTCATGAATTTCAGGTAGGTTTAGCGGTAGTAAACGGTCAATTGTATGCGGTAGGCGGATTCGACGGAACTGCGTATCTGAAAACAATCGAAGTATATGATCCGGAACAGAATCAATGGAAGCTATGTGGTTGTATGAATTACAGGAGGCTTGGTGGAGGTGTGGGAGTGATGCGAGCTCCACAAACCGAAAATTACATTTGGTAGCTCAGGCCCCCCTCTTCAGCCCAAATGGCTGAAACTCCTTTAACTCCTCTTACACCGGTAACGCCAGTTACACCTGTAACACCTCCTGCTCCTGTATCGGTTCCTGTTATAACTAGTACTAGAAAACGCTACCGCCGATCGATGAGCATTATATAAGTAATGTATGCATTTTGTAAAAGACTTTGCCTTTCTCTAAAATTCCGCGCGAGAGTATTCCTCATCGATTTTCGATATTTAATTTATTACTTACATTTCTCTTCGCGTTCAATCTAGCATACAGATCATATTACAGAAAGAAGATACGATTATTCTATCGATTTATTGCACTTGTTTCATATTTTTATTACATCACATTATTTTGTAAGAATCTTCATCAATGTTATTTGTATTCTATTAAGTAATACAAAACAAATTCCAGCTGTTTTAGATTTAAATATCTAGACAAAGTATTCTTGGAGAAATGTTTCATAATATATGCATATATATGCAAAATTTTAAAGCATTTCATTATATGAAATAAAAGAAAGGCAAAATCTCTTCCCTAACATTCGCCAGAAACATATATGTTTTAAAAAGACATTTACAGCTTCCATTCTTAAATGATCGAAATAAAAGAGCTTAAGTTCTCAGTAGAGTTTTGATTTAACTGCAAAGGGTCGTTTTTGTACCCAACAATTTAAGAATGTAATATAAGACAATGATTTCTGACTTTGTAAGGATAGTCTGCTTTAAATATGTAGATATCTCCTTTTGTTTATAAGACTGAATTTCAATCAGAGAATATTGAGATACTCATGATAAGTACAGTTTACATTCTCTTGTAAAGAAATATCAAGTTACATCGCATTTTCTATTAAGGTCTGTGAATAACTTGTGTGTCTAATTTATTCGATGCATTTATGTTATCGACGACTTGTCACAAACGCCAACATACACGCCCAAGAAAAAGCAATATGTATAATACTTGAAAAGTATAAATTATTTAAACAAGACATTTGAAATCGTTTCTTCGCGTTGCTGCAAGAAGATGTCATTTAATCAACATCATCTGTTATATACATTTAAATATCTACAGAGAGGAGTAACCTTATCGTACAAAATGGTGATAGGGATCATTGACCAATAATCTCATGATGTAACATTCGTTGTAATTATGTAATAAGAATTAGCAGAATTGGCTAAAGGTGACTAATATTATACTAACAAGAATAATTGTTTATGACTTATTTTGATGAAAATTAAATAATATATAAGAATTACTGGGATGAAAGGGCAAAAACATTTACAAATTGTCATTGTTACATGTATGAGATTGTTGAAGGCAGCAAAATGCATGTCTAGCGTAAGAACATATTGATGATGTAATGTAATTCTTTCTAAGCAGCCGATTGCAAATTCTACCGATGTTTATTCCGATTCTCTCGAATCTTACGATGGTTCATTATCGCATTTCTCAATTTCTGGATTATTCCAAATAATCCATTCATATTTAAGTTCTAAACACGTGATATTATAGAGGTAAAATCGCTATTCAGTTAATCAAATTAAACATTATACAATAGTACAAATTATCGTAATTCGTGAACAAAGTTCAAATAAGTGTTCAATATTCAACCTTGTTTAATTAATTCTGAAGAAGTTGCAGCTATGTCCCAGGAGAATGTAATATTATATCGTTTCCACAATATTTTATATGCGTAATATTAGCGAATTAATTCTAATTTATGTCAAAAGTACGTAAGAAACCGATTCTTGTATTATACCGAATCTTAATGACGCGTTTCTCATAAACAAGAAACATTGAAAGTAATTATGTTATTGATTAGCGCGCATAGTCAATCCTAAGTAAAGCACGAAGTGTTAAGCGCAAACATATTGTTTTCTCATCTTAACTAAACGAGATCAAAAACTTGTTCTGTACAACTGTTCAGTACAAAGGAAGAGTCGTAGGATTTCTTTCCTGTTCTTCATCAATAAATTAAAGAAAGTGCGCATTAGAAATTTGCGCGAACCATTATGCAAAGCGTTATTGTGTCCTATATCTGCAAACAGCTAGAATATCCTGGAATTAATTATTTTCCTAATAACGATATTTATTATTCAGAAAAAGAATGGTTTTTTGTTAAAAATATTTTTTAGATTTAAATTATATATAAGTACATGGATTTGCTAATGTAGACTAATGAAGTCTAAACTTGCGAAAAATCATAAATTTTGAGGTCGAAACCATTTGTTATCTAACAACTAAAACAAAGTAATTTATTTTCATAATTTTTTTGTTTCTTTTAAGTTTAATTTATTTCATTCGCAAATTTTCCATTTTTCCTATTGTATTAATAAAAAATAATATTTTAATAGCAAAGTCTATAAAAATCGGAAAAATATAACATGACTTTTTATATTTTAATATCGCAATTAATTGAATTAACGAATGGAATTCATTTGAATAACAGACTGATAAAATGATAGCGTAAAGAAATAAAATAAACAAGAATTATTGCATCTCTCTCGTATTATATTTTTTCAATTGAATCAATTTGTAGACATTTGAATAGAGAATTTCCCTGATGTGTTTTAGGAAGTTTTATAAATTCCCTATTCGTGAGCCAATCGACTGATTCCACACATGCTGTCATTGGTGTCACATAACGTGATAACAATAATATCGGTGCAATTCAGCTATTCAGCATAAGCACAGTATACGTATGTGTGGCAGTTCGAATCTACAATAGATGTTTTAAGCCTTAAGTCGTAAGAAATTGACCAATTATAGTCGAATGCGAGGAGAATAATGGACTGTGATTCGTCCATTTCTTGTGGCTTAAGACTTAAAAAACCTATTATAGATCTGAACTAAGCAGATAAAAAGTTTATTTTGATATTGTGAACAGTCGCCGCGTTGCCGGTCGTGTTGCGTTGCACGACGTTGCATATTAGTGATATTCCAGTGATTTCATGACTTATCATTGACATTCCTCTTTTATCCGGTATAAACTACAATGCTGTTAGTGAATCGTGCTGTTTTATTTAATTTGTTATTCGCGTATTTTACTTTTGGTAATCCTGAGGAAGAACAAGGGGTTAAATACGCCAACAAATGCGAAGGTTATTTTGGAACAATCCATTCCTGGGACTTAAATGAATTATAGTAGATTTAGTGCCTTGGAATATCATTTTCTGTTAACTTAATTGACTGGAAGATTATTTAGAAAATTTCGTATTAATAACTTTAAATGTACATTTAATTATGTAATTAAAATTACTCTGTAATTATTAATTACAGTAATTTAACATTACTGTAATTATTTATTACAATAATTTTAATGACGTAATCAAAATTACTCTACAATTATTAATAAATCTCTATTACAGTGTGCAAAGTTTTAGCTACAGAACTTGAGGCTAGGCTAGATGAAACAGGAAAGACAAACGATGTGTTAGAAATTGGATATTCAGTAGATGATGTTGTGCCAAAGAAGAAAAAGGAATATAAGAAGTCGTAAGTGTCACTGATACAAACTGTATGACATCATTCTGATGAAACTAGTATAAATATTGTCTTTTCAGGGAGCTACGGTTAGTAGAGTCCATGGAAAATGTTTGTGAACGCATATTGGAATATAATATACACAAAGAACGTACAGACAGTACAAGATTTGCAAAAGGAATGAGTCAAACGTTCAAAACATTGCATGGCCTCGTGTAAGCTGCAGTGCATAGATTAATGCAATATGATCTTTTACGTAGAATATTCTGAAACTTAACATATATATGTATGATTACAGGGATAGAGGAGTCAATGTAGATTTGGGTATTCCATATGAGTTATGGGACAAACCTTCTGTTGAGATAACTACTTTAAAAACACAGTGTGAAGATTTGCTGGAAAATTATGAAGCTGACATCGAAGACTGGTATTATAACCATCAAAGAGAGGTTTCTTTAATTAGGTAATGCCGTAGGATATATTTGTCGCAATTGTTGATATCATTTATGTAGATATATATTATGAAATCAGCGTTTATTTTTGATAATCATTTAGGTATTTATGTTCTGAGCGTGCATTGAAAGGACAAAATGATTCTTGCCTAAATGAAAAACTCGATGCTGAGAAAGATGCCAAAAAACAAAAGAAAAAGGAGGTATCAAAAGAGGATGCAGATAGTAAAGAAAGTATGAAGGATAATTCTCCAAATATGAAGCAAGAATTGTAAAACTACATAAATAAATGAACAAATTCATATAGGTATCTTTTATCAATAAATTAAATAGAATGTGATCCTAATATACCCAGTAGAAATACAATACAACAGACTTCTGATCCTATATAAAAGTAATCTGTAAATATTAGCATTGTTTATATACCTAGATATATATGTGCGATATTTATTTTTTTTTGTACTGTTGAAAATTTTATAATAAAAACTTTCTATTTTATAGAAGACTCGCTTGTAAATATACATATCTATAGAACATCACATCAACGTCAACTCAAATGTTACATTGAGGCGAGAGAGAGAGAGAGAGAGATTCATATTTGGTTCTTATATTTCAGACCATTTTAAGTATAGTCTTAAAATGTCATGAACTAATCAGAGAGCTGCATTAGCATCTTAAGACAGTTTTAAAATAAGAACCAATTATAAATAGGCCTGAAAAATCTGTTAACAAGTTTGTAGTTCTTTTTATAATATGCCAGAAAATAATTCTTAGAAGTATGAATTGTTTTATTAAATAAAAATAGTATAAATTGTACTAAAAACAGCATATAATTTATTATTTACAAATGAGATACATACTCTTCAGAAAAATTTTTTTGTTGTATTTGCTACACTCAATTATAAATTATTTGGATCTTAGGATGGTTTGGATTGATTTCTGTAGGGCGGTGGTACCCATTTAGTTTTACCGCGAAGTTCTCTCAAACGTTGGAATTCCTCCTTAAAGTCCTTTTGCTCATCCCGAAACAGGCCGTAATCACGCAGATGTGTCATCAATAGCTCAGTTTCTTTAAATCTTGGATAATATTCTACGATCTCTGGTCGTTTGTTTACCGGTTTCTCGCTAAAGAGCTTTACGACTTTCATCGATTTCTTATTAGTTGGTCTGATTACTTCGCCAAAGATTCGATTACTCAGACGATTCATGCGCATAGCGTAAGTAGTGCCCACGTTTATCAGATTCACGTATTTACTCATCCTGATTGAACAGTATTAGTTCTTCTGTTGTGTCTATAAAAAAAAAGATAAAATAAGGTTACAAATCGAAATTTAGAATGAAACTTTCTATGTTCAAGGCAATCGACAGAGGTCAATTTTAAAAGAATTCCATATTTATTCACTTACCACTTTTATAGAATTAGAGATTAAATTGTTTATTTTAAACACGGAGAGAGAGAAAGGAATAGAAAAACATCGTTCACCATATAAAGTCTATGCTTACATTCGCCTATACGTACAGTGTATGCACATTCACAAATTGTACAGCTGATTGAGCTGATTGCATGTACATACATACAGTAGAGTGACAGAGGATGTGTAGATAGAAGCAAGTCTATTAGCGCTTCTACGTGCAAAACGTGAACATGAACTACGTAGCCATATTCATAAAGATATCTGATGGTAACACCATTAACATGCACTGTCCATGCTCTTCTGGTTCTGTTCTGTGCTATGCTTACCGCTTCGGTGATGAGTGTTTTCCGTTTGGTGAAATAAGTCGACACAAGTATCATTCTATTTTTGTTACTCTCTGAATATTAAGAAAGATGTTTCTGTCACTAAATACAAAGCACCCTACATACTCTCGTATATATACGTATACTTACGTACATACCCCTATCATCGAGATATGGCATCTTTTTATCACTTACAGCTCTATTTATATAATTGATCATACGATCTGTTTTTTCCTGCGCTGTAATTGATATTTATTTTACATTTGCTTTTTCATTTACTCATGCCTTTTTGTATTATTTATTCCTCAGTCAATTCTTTCTGGTCTGATTTGCATTATAATTTATAAAAGCTATCTCCAGGGATGGGAAGTAACTCGTTACTTGTAACGAAGTTACAGTTAGAGTTACTTTTTTTCAGTAACTGTAACTTAACTTCATTACTTTCTTTCCATCTGTAATTATAACTTAACTTATAGCGTTTTCGGCCCGATCGGGTTTGCACTAACCTTGGTTGGATTAATCTTTCCTATTGATTGACGTCACCCGCTCTATCAATTGGAGAGCACAAAACGCCATTAATCCAACCCAGGTTGGTGTAAACCTGGCCGGGCCGAAAACGCTATTAGTTACATCTTTTAAATAACTAATTTAATAGTTATTTTGTATATTTTAAACTTATTTGTCAATTTAGTGTGCGATAGTGTCCACTTGGCGCTACAAATACTTCGAAACATTTAATTAATCAGAAGAAAGAAATTTAATTAAAGCGTTCAATGACCTTTTGTACCTGTTTGGTCTATATTTTGGGATCTAATGGAATCCGCCAATCAAATACAAGAGCGCTCAGTGAACGGTTGTAGACCATTTTGGATTAGTGCTAGAATTTATTTGCAACTTCTTTTAGCCGAATATAAAAAGAATTTTTTTACAAAAAACATTGTATATGTGTGCTATTCATATTTCATATTCATATTCATATTCATATGTGTTTATATTACTTTAACGAAAAACGTCTTTGCCATACAATTTTTTTATCTTTTTGAATAAATAATTGTATAACATGTAAATGTAAACCAGTCTTTTTTTTTAATTGTCCTAGGCTGCATTACTCTGATGACTCCGTGTTTCATCCTTGTTTAATATTAGATGAAAAACAAGGGTAAAACGATATATGAAGGCAAGGTTGGATAACGTTTCTGAATACAGCCTTAATGGTATCGATACTACTAGTAAAAATTTCGTAAAAAGTAACTTAAAAGTAACTTAAGGTTACTTTTTTAGTAACTGTAACTGTAACGAATTACTTTTCACAGTTAATAACTTGTAACGGTAATTAATTACTTTTTGAAAGAGAAAAACTGTAACTGTAATTAATTACTTTTACAAAGTAACTTTCCATCCCTGGCTATCTCTACTTCCAAACCTATGGAATTACAAGTTTTACCATTTTTGCTCTGCACTCTGGAATTAAATTTTTTATCCACTATTTTTTTTAGCTTTTCCTCGACGGTACTACTTATACATATATATATATAGTTATGTGTTATGTAAATAATAAATAGGCTGGTCCCTGAGAACTGCAATACATCTTATCGGATCTACTAAAAAAAAGCTGTTTCCATTACTTTTTAGTTCTTTTCCATACTATGACAACAAAACATCGTACTATTTTCAAGATTACGTTTATATGGAAAATAAATTCATATGCAGTACTTACAAAAAACTGTGGAAAACGATAAACTTCGTTTAGACAACGATCCAAAAGTGTAAATTTAAAAACTAAATAGTATAATTGGCAAAGTAATGATTTTTTTATATTTATATAATTTTATTTTACATATTCAATTTCGACCTATTATAATGATGCAATATATAATAATCACAATATGATGAATGCATTTGAAACGAGTTGTGATTTCTTACAAACGATTTTCTCCACAAATAAAATTTTTAATTTAATAGTCATATATATTATTTTAATTCCATATATATATATATATATATATAACAAATAATCGGACATTGCAGATATATCTTTCCATTAGATTAAGTTCAATCCCTATTGAAAAAAATCACGTCACACAGTTGCATGATAAAATCATGTAATTAAAACATATAAATCACGTAATGAATTGTTCCAAATCAGTATGTAATTTTTTGAAATTAGCAGGGAATGGAAGTAACTCGTTACTTGCAACGAAGTTACAGTTACAAGTTACTTTTTTGGTAACTTTACTAGTAACTGCGTTACTTTTTTTCTTTGGTAACTGTAACGGTAACAAAGTTACATTTTTTTAGTAACGGTAATGAATTTTATAGTTACTTTTATCTTTACTTTGTACATGATTGGACACGATTCGACACAAGTCACTTACACTGTAAAAAAATTTCGTAAATTTACACATATAATAAACGTAAAATAGATTACATGATTAGTTCTGTAAATATAAAA